GCGACCTTTTGTTGACATTCCATTTAAAATTATATCTTTTATGAATAAATATTTCGTTGTTTACTTTGTGGTTAGTTTTTCTTCGACAAGTGGTATATAATAAAAAACTTGGCTTTGCCCCGTGAAATATCGACTGGTTACGGGTCCACGACGCGGTTAGCTCGACATCGCTACTCAATTATTTTGCTAGAAATCAGCTACCGGGAATTAATTAGCTTGCTGCGTCGTCAATCGTAAACTTCGTAATATGACTTTCCTTCGGCCGCGGTAAAGAAGTATTCATTATGATCATGAAACATTTTCCTATGCGCTTCCATGCTACCGATATCAAGTTTCTGGCAATGAAAAATTTAAAGACTTTCATATAATACACATTACATTCCAATTAATTCCTATTCAATAATAATTTTGTCGCCCCGTAATTTGGGCCAGTGTATTCCACTACTTTGACAAACCAAACTCTACTAATTAATCTTTCGACGTTACGGATTATAATAGATTACCATTATAATTGTCAGTTCAAGACTTCGACACAAGAAATTGCACCTTTTATAACAATAGTTCCTAGTTCTAGTGATCTTAGCTGTGATTCTTACCTGTGATCCACTTGCGTTCGAAGTGTGAATATTTCTAGCACATATTTCTAGTAGATTTCAATACCAAAATACACAAGTTTCGCGCACCCTGACCTGACAAACATGGTAGCTTACTAACCTTGGTGCACTTTTCTTTTTGTGGGGAAATTGCCTCTAACCTCACTATTAGCATGATTATATTTTTATTCGGACGGTCTTATTCAATAATTTTTAAGTAATTTGAAATATAGTGTCGCTTGTGCTATTTCTATATGACTATATTGTATTTATTACAGATCTGTACATGAAAACGAATTCCGATTTACTGTAAACAATATAAATATTTTTGTCCATTGCCCAGTACCCCGTCCACGTATCCCGTGGTTAACGCCTATATACCTGGCGTCTTGTTTAATTATAAAGATAACCTTTGAAACTTACGATTCGATTCAGTCGCTGCAATAGCTAGCTGCCAATTAAAGAACATGAGAACAACTGCAACAAATACGATTCTGAATGACAAGCAGATCGCCATTTGGAGAATGCAGTTATACCTGAACCATGAAGAGTTTACAGACCAGGTGTAAGACTTGATCCTTTCAAAGCAAAATTTTGTTAAACATATCGTTTTGAAGTTGTGCATGAATTTAATATATCGGAAATTTGATACAGAATGATGTTAAAGAAGATTTGATTGGATGGCAACGTGATATGTTAAATTCATCAGCCATCTGTAAACATGCTTGTTTTTCACAATTTTCAATTCCAAGCCGTTTGTTTATTAATGATTGATAATGAGAAGAGAAATTTATTCATAGCTCACATAATCACCATTATTCTTCAACCCAGCAACATACAGCGATATATTTCTAAAATTCAAATTACTCACAAGTCACAAAGACAATCCTCCATTCTGCCAAAGGTAAGCAATATAAATGAAACTATAACTTATACACCCATTTTCGTAACAATCTTATTATTTTTAAATTTATCTATTGTAGTTAAATAACATGGAGAAAACAACTTGGCAAATACTGAAGAATTTAATTGCCGGATTAAGCCCCCGTTTCAGCAAACAATTTCAACTTTCACAATAAACATTCCGACATTTTAATCAGCACTTGAGATGTGATTGCCAAAGATTATATTTTTTTATATTTAGATGTATGGTAATTACTTGTCGCCTAAAGAAAAAAGCAAGAGAAGACGAGCATGAATATATTCCTATTCCATATCCTACTACAAATCATATATATATATATATAATTATATATATATATATATATATATATATGTTGATGATATATTGCAGATGTAACTGCATAACGACATGTTAAAGGACGAAACTCCGCATTGTCAATAACAACTTAAGCAAAATCACAGTCGTTCCCAACTTGGCCTTGTAGCTCAGACGGTAGAGCATCGTTCTAGAAATGCGAAGGTCGCGGGTTCGATTCCCACCGCGGTCAAGTAGAATTTTCTGCTTGCCCGGTTGGTCATACTTGTGCAGAAGAACAAATTCACCTTACATATATATATATATATATATATATATATATATATATATATATATATATATATATATATATATATATATATATATATATATATATATAACCGACTATCTATCCTGGCTGTCAGCAAGCTAATTGTTGATTATAGTTGCACGCCACTTTAAAGCGCATTTCCTATATTATTTTCTAAGGGCAATAGAAAATAAATTATAAATTCGGAAATCGCAGTGATCGAGTTATTTCCTCTGTGAGAAACGGAAACAACTATATTTAAATTAATCAACTTATGCACAGGGAAAGGTTCTTTAGTTACCTTTATTGAATGAACATTGGCGCCCAATTATTTCAATATGTTTACAACTGAATTTAATATGCGGCATATAGCATTCTATATGAATTCATGAGTGATTTTGTTTATTAAAACGAAATATGCAAGATCTGGCACGTTGTTAATTATGGCTCGAATTGATACGAAGAATGTAAGAGAGGCGGTTTCCATCTTTGAAATTTTGCACGCTTCCTAAGTGGTTAAGTATATGATTTGACTGATTTGCAAATGAGTTTCTGAGAAGTTGAAAACTGAATTAAGAACTTAAATGAGGATCGCTTGACCTGCATTAAATTCCATGCCCAGTTTGTTACATCGATAGCTTCTGACTAAATCAATATTACGCATTCCTGGCACAGTACATTATGATTCCAAGTCTAACAGGAATCTTATCGCAAGAGCGTACTAGAGTGCTCGCATCTGATTAAATTTAATTCAGGGCCATATTTTGATTGGATGACGACAGTCGCAGTGACCTTGATCAGACCACAACGATCATTATTAAAGACTGCGCTTTTTTACAGCTCATGCATTATTCATAGAACACTCGAAGCATCTGCATTAGAATGGTTTGTATGCACGATCATACATTGGCATTTTAATTGATTGAAAATGCGTTTCTAAATATAGTACTGAAAATATAATGTCAAAATCCAAGTAGTATCAAAATATGTGCACAGAGTGAGACATTGAAATTCAAATGTACTAACTCGTGCATACAAATTACCGTATATTTTGCATGTTTTTTGCGTAACACAATCTGAATTATTGCGCTTTCTTGCTTTCTAATAAGTTTTCTTGGTCGAATACTAAATGAAGTAGCTTCATGCTCTGATGAGAGCAGTTTTATGAGGTTTAAAAGATATGACTAGATATATGTCTTATTAGTTTATCACCAGATCACGGCATAAACATGCATGTCTCTCTTGCCGATAACCCTGAAATTAGACTAGTAATCTACGTAATGGAACACTAATCACATGCATATATGCATTGGCTTCGAAAACAAAGACAATATTTTGCTGATTTGGAGACTATTATTGAAACAGAAATTCTGCATAAATCCAAAAGAATTTGTAACCAAAACCTGGATTTTCAATACGATTCAGGCATTTAGCTTATACTTCAACTGTCGCTTTTTACCCACCTAGCAGGGAAGACGTGCTACGAGACATTATAGTCTTGTGTATAGACAAACACTGAATATGCTTTGCTGGTATCATCAGAAATAGGCAAATTATACAGTAATATATTAGGGTAAGGTAAAAAATAATACGTAATTTCACGCTTACTTATACTGACACAGTGGCATGCAGTAAGCACCATAGCACTAAGGGAGGAAATATTATTAAAAAAGAAATTGGCGCAGCTTAAGGACGTCATTGTGTAACCCGTACCTCTATCTGTAAGCCGCTAATCCATCTCGTTTTGATGGATTTTCTGGAAGTGATAATGTACTTTCCCAAATGTCATTGTGTTTTTCAAATCAAATTTCAATCTCCTTTTACGTAATTTGAAACCAAATCTCGTTTCAGCCGAAGTCGTACACACTCAAGTTCTTGCGTAAAAATTATGCTCCGTCGCTACAAATTAAGGTGGGAAACAAACATTGTTTACTACAGGCGGCGAGTCATTATGTGTAATAATTGAAGGAGAAAATTACAGTTTATATAATTTGACCACAAAATCAAATGTAATATATAGACAAACAGGAAATAACTTTGGAACACAATAACAGCATAAGCCAAATGCGCAGTAACGTGTAATTGCCTACCACAAATAAATATTGACACTGCTAAGGAATACTCAGTATAGTCGAGGTGATGGCGGGTTATAACTAGAAGAATAACTTATGTCGAAAAAGAATAACTAGCGAAAACGATCGGTGTAAAACTCTTTTCTTTATTTTTAAATAACTTTACCAATCAACTGATCAAATATTGAGATATACACCCTAACATTAGTATGAAGACCTTGGCACAGAAAGTGCAGAAACTTGGCACAGAAACTCTCTAGCTGGCGCCAATAACAGATGACTGATACATGTAAGGATTTGTGGAAGGAGAAAGTTGCAAGGAAATAGGTTTTTCAACTTGTCCTAAAAAAAATTTATTGATCGCAAGCTGATTGTTCATGACAGATTTATATTAGGCAAATAGTTTACTAGGTATGCGCATGTAACATGCACAATATGTGCATCTTCACGGAGATTGATGGACCAATTCTGAACAATCATACGGAAAAAGACTATAGAATCAAGAATCGAAACTGAAAGATTTGAACCATCAATAAGACATTAAAAGTTCCCTACTGAAAATATCAATCTTATAACCATAGCTATCAATGACTGCAGATGTACACATCTCCAGACTCTATTGGGAATTCTACTAGGCATGTCTCATAAAATCAATAAAAATCTCTGAAATATCCAAAATTCCTTTTGCCGACAAACGATGATCGTTGTTGATTCAGTCGAAATTTTTTTTTAATTCTTCATTAATTAAGATTTAGTGAAAGATTGGTAACATATTTCAGACCTTTAAGACCTTTTAAGCTCAAAATCTTAATTAGCTATAGCCCCATGTTAAGAGCAATTATCACTTTAGTGGTGGTACGAATTAGAATCAATAAGAGCACAATATGCCCGACTGATATATTTAATATATCTATATTTTCTCGTGTCGTAGGGTAATGTAGTATCAACGCGGGAATGAAATACGATGACCTGAAACGACCGCTTTCAGTAATCTAATTTAAGGATACAAATTCCCTTCTCTCTCTCTCTTGCTCAAGCAAATAGTCCACCCCCACCAAATCACTCAGAGAATAGACTTCGAGTTCAGCATACAGAATCTAGCTCTGTTTGAAAAAATTTGTTTGCGGGCTAAAATTTAAGGATTTTGTCCTATGTAAATTGTAGCTAATACCTACGCTACTGCTCATTTGTTTTAATATGAGTACTTTATTTAGAATGGATCGCGGAGCAATTATAGATGGCGGGTTGTTTTTATCAGCGCGGTCGTTATCCGTGAAGACAAAAATAATAGAAATGGACTGGTACTAATCCAGCATTTTTAGCTACCTCAATTCGAATTATCATTCCAGCATACTTAGAATTCACTCTAATTTCTAAATGTTATAAACCTCAAATCTCCTGTCGTGTTATGCTGAATGTGTTCAAAGGACTAAACTACTTCTATTAAGTAAAATAATTTTGCTTATAAAAGCACTGCAACGACCAACAATAAACGACTGTCACAGAAAAAGGTTATAAAGAAACTTCATGATGAAATCCTCTTTGAACACAATTTTTTTTTCCAATAACGCTACCGACCTTCAAAATAGAAATGGATTTTTTACGTACAGTTGATTAGCTACATCTGTCATCTTTTTCATTTACAATGATCACATGATCGCGGTCAAACTTGGATCTCTTTCTAACTCCCTTGAAGCCTTCCCAAAAGCCTCCTTGATCATGTAAGAAACACTGATCTGGTAAACTGCTTTAGTAACGTTGCCACGCTGATAAGGATCTTCTATTCTTATTTGAGGTTTTCTCCATGTGCCTTCACTATAGTTACTTAATGGGATATAATCCCCAGTGCGAATTGAGATGACCTTCTCCCAAGAAAAATTTGAGTAAAATTTGAAAAATCCAACAAGTAACTCCCCTAACGTCTGGGTATTTCGTGACGAATAACTTCGCACATCGTAAGGGACGCTATCTTTTTTCGTGTTTGAAAGCTTTTCAGCAAGTGAAAGGACTGACGAACTGCTAGCAAAAAACCGGGGAAATGTTGCTTGCAAGGAAGGTATAACAGGGTCAGTGCATCCTTTCTGGAGGTAATGGAGGATAAGCAGGATCACAGCAAATCCTAATAAAGAACAGGTAGAAAGATTGTGGTTAAATTGCTTCTATACTTTCTGTAGTCTAGTATAGTGGTTACACATGATCCTTACACGCGTGAGGTCCCCATGCAGCAATGATAGAAAAAAATAGATTAAGTGTTACTTTTTTACAAAACTAAATAAGATATTCGATACAAAAATCAAGGAACCATAGGAATTTGAAAAAAAGAATCATAATAAGCAAATAGATTGCATCCATAGAATGTTTTATGTATGACAGGCATCGCTTCCAAAATTTTTCGGTTTAAAAATTATCTTCGTCTATTTTAAAAGAACATCATGAATGTTTACAAAATTCGCTTACGTATTTTTGTTAACTTTATTAGCTACTTCTCAAAATATTTTCGAATGAAATTGTCTTCTATCCGCCATTTTGGACATGCATATTCTTGGTCGGATCATAGAGATTATAAATGAGATTGTAACACTGGAGGAGGCATTGGTATCGAAAACATCAGTCGAAAAATGGAGCGCGATAATTGGGGGCAAATTAAAGTTCCGGATGATAAGCCAAGCGCTGATTGGCTAGATCAATGCCTCCCCTTAATTAGCAATCACGTAAGCAACAACTAAAATTTGTATTAAAAAAATGATATTCGATTTTTAGGTTGCTTTGCCGATTTTTTAAGGAAAAACAGTGCTTTTTTGAACTGGTTTTACCTGAAATGATACTTTATAGAAAAAACATTCAGGGATAGAAAAAACTCGTTTAAAACGATATACTTTGGCCTCGGACATCGTGATTTGCCCCCTGCTGAAATTGCCCCCGATTAGTGCGCTCCCCAATTTCTCCTTGATGCCCCCTCTAGTGTTATTTGTAATCTCTTTGGGTCAAATATGCATGACATAGCCTGGGTGAAAATTCGTTTTGTAGCTTCAAGTTAACGATTCAGTGAAGTGATAGTTTCATAGCATTACAATCGCACGTATCTCAAATTATAGCGTTTAAATCATATTGTTCATAGAGTTCTAAACTAAAGCGTAAACATGTAGTTGTTATTTTTTGAGCGTCAACCCGGCTTTTGACGTCACGTAATTAGATCTCAATATAAAACAAGATGGCGGATTTATCTCGATAGGATGTTTTTGATCACTAATATATTGCGAAGTGAGGAAGATAAACAAATTTTGTAAAAAGGTTCTATAAGAAGTATAAATTTTCTCCATTGTAATTATCGCTACTCTGGTTTTAATAAATGAAAGTAATCACCACACAAAGATTAACTTTCACGACCCAACGTTTCGACACTCCGGTCTAGTGTCTTCATCAGGGGTGATCTGACGTTGAAACTTGGTTCCTTATATACTCTCAAAATGATTGCGAGAAAGAATATCTAGGTCAAACAAAACGCCAGTTCGGCACACGTTTAAAAGAACATCAAAAGGCCGTTTCGAACTTAGACAGTTCAAAATGTGTGTCAAACTAATCATAACATTGGGTGGAACGATTCAAAAGTCATCATCACTAATCATCGTTATGGACAAAGGCGTTGTTTGGAAGCCTGGCATATTAATGCGAGTCTTTGTGCCCTAAATAGGGATGACGGAAGCTATTTGCCAAAAGAATATTTACATCGATAGATGACGTCATTTTGAGAGTATATAAGGAACCGAGTTTAAACATCAGATCACCTCTGATGAAGACACTAGAAACGTTGGGTCGTGAAAGTTAATCTTTGTGTGGTGATTACTTTCATTTTAAAACCAGAGTAGCGATAATTACGATGGATTATATACCTGGTTGCCGTGAACTCATTTATAACTATCAATTTCCTTTTCAACAAAGCAGAAATAATTTTTATTTCCATATCCCTTTAAAATTTTGGAAAACGTGAAGTATTAAAGTTTTAAAACTAAATTTCGACGTCTTGATATTCAGTCATTTAGTAATTTAACAGAAAAAACTTTCATCTTCACACGTGCAAGATCCGTATGGTTCAATCCTAGTGCATTTTAACTTGTCTGGTGCGTATATCTCTTAAAATTTTCTTCAAGGATTGAATTTATTTGATTCCCAAAGCTGAAAATTCGCGTCGTATCCTGTGTGTATGGGCTGGTGTGTATGTGAATCGCGTCAGGTGTGTGTGGGGCCTAAACGTGACGCCGTGAAATGGTTTACACTTCATACGTATCTAACACAAATGGTAGCAATTCGCCTCTGACACAAATTTTTCCTTATTTCCACGTATACACCTTAGTTCAGTTTTAAAATCATTAATGACATGTTTAGTCATTGAATCGGGCATTTTCGGAAAGCAGGTTTTTTCCCGAAAGACATAATAGATTATTAACTTCCAACGTTGCGCAAACTTTCAAATCCTCGGAGCATATATCGTTAATTTATTCATACGTCAAATTCTTACTATACATATATCCTACACATCGTACCTCAAAAAAGCTAGGCCTCGTGAAACGATATTAATAATATAGTTTTTCAATAAGGTCTAAAAATAATCTGCTATACTTTACCAGAGAGTTTGTGTTGTCTCGCATCGCAAATGCCTGCTTTTTGCGCCCATCTTTTTATTATCAATGCCAGCGGTCGTACACGTGGATCCATCAAAGCATAACATTTGAGTAGATAGGTGCTCTGAACCCCACATTTTTGGTTGATACTGATGTCACCCTCATAATCAGATATGTCATCTCGAATCTTCAGGATTGGCACTTTTGCGCCGTATACTGACTAAAAGAAATCAAAGTAGGCCTATTTGTAAACTAAAGCAGTTTTTCGAGTGAAAAAGTTACTCGTGATTCCAAATGGCCAGGTGGGACGAAAAAAAAAGTTAAACCAAATTTTTCGCCGAGTAAATTTAACCCGAGTTTCAAACTAGATTTTTACCAAATGCATCCTGTGACGTTACATTAGTCAAGTCCATAGACACACGTCATAGACACACGTCATAGACACGGCGTTCCGGTTGCGCTGAGTCATGCTCTTACTATATTTAACGTTTATGTAAGGTGTAAACATAGTAATGAAGTAAAAATCTTATATTCAACCAATAAATTTATTATTACAGTGAACCAGCCTCGTACCCAGGCGCTTTAAATAACATTAAATATAGGCACAATAACAGGCTTTTACATAGGTCAGTGGCTATAAGCTGAGCGCCGTAGCGCGCGGGAAATTCTGAGGAATTAATAACATCTTTCATGGGCGTGGAAAGATTTAGAATTTGCCCTAGATCTTTAGATATCGCCAATTTAGAGCACAGGTACATGTTACTACAACGTGCATACAATTCAAATACTCAATTTCAAAATATTTTCTTTTAGAAAACTGTTAAAAAAATTTACAGGCACGCATAAATATATTGTGGAAACCTGCCTGTAAGCAAGTATGCCTTGTATGCTGGAGTTATCCGCTAAAAACTATAGAATTTTCCTTTGAGACCATCCCATTTACTCTCACTGACTCGCTTTAAAGGAACATAGGAGAGTTAGTATGTTTTACGTAACCCTGTCGAGTTAACGTAGGGCGCTGAGAGCTTTTATGCTTGTTAAAAAGGGACAAAACATCAAGATGCGATAGATACATATCAAGTGTCATATATGTATACCAAGATGCGGTATATACATACCAGATTAAATATATATATCAAGATTTAAATATATATATCAAGATTTATAAATATATATCAAGATTTAAATATATATATCAAGATTCATATATTTATATCAACACTTAACTATAATATCTAGATTCGTAAATTTATATCAAGATACGTTATTTTCATTTTATATCAAGATTTATATATGCTTTAATGAAGTACTCCCTTGCCCGTTTAGTGTTACCGCTGACCAAATATTTATAAAAACTAAAAAGAGAAGGTGAACAAAAGTAGCATGGCGCATTTTGTCGACAATCTTGGACAGTTTTTCGAAGAGTTTTTAAGATGTGTGCGAGAAGGAATCACAGGACTAAGTGCAGAATATGAAGAAAATCGCGTGGACAGCCTGTTATGCCGCCTTAGCGAGTTTGAAAGAACCCTCGGGTTATTATCAAGTCGTGTTGCCACTCTTGGGGTTGGTGGCAGATCACCTGATCAGTTATTGGAAGATTTGGAACGGCTCATAACTTCTGTGCGTCTTCTAAAAACAAGGTATCAAGCCAGACATGCCGAATCAGTGGCGTCTCCTGATATGGAAGCAATACACCTGCCACAACACGGCTGTTCTACTCAGCATTTAGGGCATGCTTGTCGGCCAAGACTTGCCGTTGACAAAACTGTTGTTCAACAACTGCGTGAAGAATCAATGAAATGGGTGGACATTGCAAAAATTATTGGAATTTCATCCAAAACATTGACTCGCCGACGCAGGGAATTTGATATGCCTATTGGTGCTGATGCATATACATGTATTGAAGATGGCGAATTAGATGAGCATGTTCGAGGAATTTTAAGAATAAATCCTGAAGCAGGTATATTCTGTGACTACACACGTAAAAATCTCACATCTTTTACGTGTTGTATATGGTATATTGCATATGATTTCCACATGGGAGGTTCACTTTTCAGGAAAAGAAAAAATACTGTTACAACTGTTACATCTTCTTACCATATTTTCCTTATTATTTTTAGGACTTGGTTTAGTTGAAGGAGGACTCAGAGCAAAAAAATTAATGATTCAGCAGAAACGTGTACGGGAATCTATTGCTAGAGTTAACCCAGTTATCTCAGCAGTCAGAAGACACAATTTCAAGATTGTCAGGCGAAAATATTCTGTACCTTGTCCAAATGCCCTCTGGCATATTGATGGTGATCATAAATTAATTGAACCTTACAGAATTGTCATTCATGGTGGCATCGATGGGTTCTCTCGGCTAATTGTATTTCTAAGGGCTTCTACAAATAACAAGGCTATTACTGTTCTTGAACTGTTTCAAGAAGCTGTTCGTCGTTACAACCTACCATCCCGTGTTCGTTCAGATCAGGGCTTGGAGAATGTTGAGGTTGCTAAGTTTATGTTACGTGAGAGAGGCCTAAACAGAGGTAGTATAATAACTATCTATCTATCTATGTATCTATCGCATCTTGATGTTTTGTCCCTTTTTAACAAGCATAAGCTTTTACATCACTCTCTTCATAATCATATCATTCACGAGTCGGCGCGAAACGCCGTGGGGGGTGGAAACACCAACTAGAGATTAGGAATTACACCCGAGTAAAATGTTACTACGATACAAAAAGCGATGCAGTCCAAGATTTAACAGCGAAACTCACTCACTGTGAAAGAGAAACGATTCGTAATCTTATTAACTTTGAAATGCATGTTCTAAACAGGTAGGTGTCTATTTTGGTAGTTCCACGTTTCACGTTTGCTGTAACGCAGGCAGTTTAGTGTATACGAGAACTTGGCATGGCCAAAGCCATACTCGACACGGAAATGTAGGGCATCACATCATCGCTTTAACTTCAAAAAGGGGTTTTGAAAGTCGAAATCTGAATCTTAATGTAAAACATCGCTTCAAAATGAAAAAATTAGATAAAATATTTAAAAGACATTCGCAACCTCGTCCCCAGGGTCTTTTTCGTAGCGCGCCGTGGGGAAGACCCTGGTAAACCCTGTGGAATTCTCCAAGATTCTTGGAGATTGAGTGAAAGCGTAATAGCGAATTTCCTTTAAGTACTGACCGAAATAAACGCTGATGTGATGTGAAAACCCTAAAATTTTTGCACGCCAGCATTCATTTCGGTCAGTACTTAAGGAAATTCGCTATTACGCATGCACTCAACCTCCAAGAATCTTGGGGATTTTCACAGTGTTTACCAGGGTCTTCTCACTTTTTCCTCGGCGCGCCACGAAGAAGACCCTGGGGACGAGGTTGATAAATTTGACGTTATTTTGTACGGTTTTGACGTTTTTCTGATCATACAATTAGCCTACTAAATAGTTACCTTAGAAATATTATGAATATATGTATCTGTGTCCAACAGTAGAAATATTGACTACACCCACTCGTTGAGTCATTTCATAGTGTAAACGTATAAGCCTAGCTAGCCCAGCCTGCCCAGGAAATTATATACCTCGCTTTAAATACCATACCATATAGGGACGAGCAGTCAAATTTACAGAGCAAAATAGGCTGAATTTACGGGCTCAACGCACTTTATTGCAAAATGCTACTTTATTGTACAAAGTCAAGTACACGTCAAGTTGTAGTCCGTGGTAGTATCAATTATAAGATCATGAAGGAATCGAAACCTTATACACAGCATTGTACACAAATATTGGCGCCGGAAGTTAACCAAACAGTTCAATACTCAAAGGAATCATGATCTACTAGTTTCTGCAAGCATGATATGGAACATTACATTGGCAATTAGCCAATTACGTTTTGAAGTTTCCAACTAAATCTTGTTTGTCAATGGACTTTCAGTGCGCTGATGGTGAGGAAGAGGTGTAAAATGTCAGTCCTTTGAAAGTCTTTTGTTTAAAACTATTACCCTAGAATTTCAGATTACACTTGAAGCAAGCCCACAATGTAAGATTGGGGTCAAAATATTGCATTTCACACAAACGTGAGCAAGTTGAAGCAAGATATATTAAATTCTATTTATTTCAATTATACCTCCACTTTATACCGCCTTCGGTAAGGTTTTAAAGCTTCCTCAATTTTACTCAGGCATCCCATTTCAGAAACATAACTTTCCCTGGTTATCACAGTGAGATCGCAGTCACTGTGTTTAAAACCGAATAGATTTGTTGACGAACCGACCAAGATGAGCCGACTTCCGGGCAAAGCGCGTTGAACAATTTGCTGAAGTTCCTCGCACCATCTAAATTTGTCTTCCAAAGTCGAATTGGCGGCGAGCTCAATAGATTTGAACTCTTCCTTAATCTCTGTTGTCAATTCAGAATATGGATTGGATGAATATCCAGGCGAAGAACGATATCGATAAGCCATGATAGGAAAGTTTCTGAATTCTGATGTCCCGAAGCTAGTGTTGTTGCTAGCAACTTAATGAATGCATAATTATTTTGCCGGGCATTTCCCTATTTCTGGTCTCTGGAAATATGCTTCATTTTACGAGATTTGCGAGGATGAAAAAAGGTAACTCTTGTGATATCTTACAAGTCGTACAGTATTTGTTTTTCCCTAGGGTTAATAAAGCTAGAAAGCTGGATGATTTGTCATTCAGGATATGTACTATGAATATGACGTAATCTTACTGCGTTGGGGAAAACCCGAAGATTATTAATCATGATAAAACAAAATCAATTTTTGCGATCTTTGGAATAGCTGAATTAAAAAGTCGTCTAAAAAGAAGTGGCTAGTATTAAGTTGCGGGAGATAGCTAGACATCACAGAATTGCAACTTTTGCAGTTTGTGGAACAGCTGGGACACCAAAGCAAAGTGTTTGATTCTCATGACATGTGTAGAGCATGTGTAGCTGTAGCTATATACATATCATTTCATTTGGCCAACTTTTCCTTAAGAGTAAATTCAGAATGGTCTAATTGCTCTAAAGACTGAAGAATATTTCGATTACTAAATTTGTTTGGCTTGATTACTGATTAGAAAACGTATGACAAAATTGTAGTCTACTTTCAAGCGGCCGTCAACGCATAATTAGCCGTAGGTGCGATTAGTGAATACCGGCCTTTAATGATTAAGTTGTCATGCATACGTTCGCCGGCTGGGCATGCACTCACAAGTTGTTATATTGCCGGGTTTGTTAAGCCTGTTTCAGACGTCGAATTTTCATGTGCCGAAACTGTTGTTTTAAGTTAATTTGTATACTTATCAATGAGCTATCGAGAAAGCATGATTATCTCAGTGCGATTGGTGAGCATTCTTGAGCCCCCCCCCCAAAAAAAAATTCAAGCCTCCCCCAAACAGAAGATCTTGAGCAGAAGTTTCGAACTATCACCGAGGCATACGGATTATGACAGCTATAAGCCTTGCTTTCGTATTAAAGCTTCTGTCGAAAACATCAGGCCTCTTTTAACATATAGACTGGGGGCAAAGGCTCCCCCCCCCGTCCTATTAGAAGTCCCCTGTTTAAAAAAACGTTGATAAAAGCCAACGTTTGTGTAATCCAACCTGAATGTACTTCATTGTATCATCTGTTGAGTGCGAAAACATTGTATATTATTTTGAAATCAGGCAACTGATTTCAACTTATAAACCTTCGGCCATGATCAACATTTAAACTTCGTTGCGCCAGGGAGCGGTCCCATTTTGGTCCCCCATGCACTCGAAATTCCTTAAAGTAGCCCTGGAAAACATTGTTTATGCTTGTATTGAGGAAGGAAGTTTCGGCTTCTATTTTTAAGGACGCTGAAACGAAAACAGGAAATCAAATAATCAATTCAATCATTTTGAATTCAAACATTCAAAAAATAGTAATGAAATTAAAAAGGAACAGTGCAATTAAGTAGGACGTAAAGTTCGTCAATTCCCTTGTGTATACGTCTTGACTATAATATACAAAACAAATCTCAATAATTTTCTAGCAAAAACAATGTCACAATGATAAGACCATAACGCATTTGCTAAAAGCACTTTGTCTTTGTTCTGGAATTGTTATCCTTTCATGGTAAACGGAAGTTACATGGGAGAAGTAGACACATAATATTCGTCATATAACAATATAGGGCCTAAGATTCCTATTGTAAACAACATAACGAAAATTCTTTGTCTTTTTATTTTTATTAATAAAGATATACAACGCGTTAAATATATCATTTCTATTACACATTTATTTATCGAAATCTGATACCATCTCGGTACGTCAAGCAGCATTCGGCATTTTCCTGTTGAATCCACACAGCATGGCGTTATCAAAGCGCATAGCTAGATCGTGTATTCATCTTGGTGTCGTTCAACTGATATTTGGTTGTGCTGGTGTAGCATGTGGGGCTGTAGCAAAGAGCAAATTGACAGGCCCCGTGGGAGCAACTATTGGATTATGGGCAGCATATGTAAGTTGAATAAACATATAAATACAATTGTATTTTATATATCTTCCTGTGTTTGTTGTCGTACATTGTCATATCACACAAATACACAATGACACTAAGTGAGATCATGCAGACGTAGCTAGATGTCATTATTTGATAAATTGTGATCTTTTATACATATATAGACCCTTTATTAATTCGTTTAGCCATAAATCATTTAATAGTGTTTCATAATGTAAACTATATATTCGTTTAAAGCATTTAATAATTATCATGTACGGTATATTTTATACTGTATATTATTCCAAACACATCGTTAGCCCAAACGTATATTTTGGGTATCATTTTTCTTTGATTAATAAAGACTTGCACCTATCTCCGTATATAAGCATTGTTGTTATCACGAGTTTACGTTTTTCGCTCCCAAAAAACTGCTTAATTAAATGGGCTATAATTTTATATTATTTGTGTAAATATGTTTCAAGTCATGTGCCATGTATAATCATGCCGCATTCATAGCACTGATCAAACAATATAATTTTGGGATTTGAGTGATCGTATAAATGTTGCAAACTCACGGTCAATGGTCGTCCTGGCAAGCTAGCCATGCAGTACGTGACGAATCGGTGTAAACTTCGATCAAACGTGGGCACTGGCCTAGAAAAAATGTTGCTACATTCGGGAAAAATCGGCATAGAAATTATTTACTAGCCAAAAATCTGCATATTTCCTTTTGAATTGAGAACAGTCAAATTGAACTAATTACTTCTACGCGCAAACTCAACCTCCGTCTAAAGTCGTGTTTATTGGAAAATTAAGCACATAACACAAGGGTACGCGAAACACAATGGTCGTATAGTAATTAGTTGCACAGTCATTGAAATTGTAAAGTGCATACAAATCATGGTGTTTGCAGTTTTTTTTATACACCCTGTATATGCTGTTATAATTTTAAGGAAAATATACAAATATTTTGCTAGCGAACCATTCAAGAGAATGCAGTGGTATCACATACCACACGCGTTTTAGAAAGGTTTTCATGTAGCTGGCTAACATCCTCCCAGAACTATATAGGAAGCTTCCATGAAGATTAATAATAAATGTATGATTATTTGTAGTTTCAGCTGTTATTATACAGGGTGTCTCAAATAAAGCAGACGCTATTGAATTCACCTTTTGTTAGAATTTGAATGGCATAAACTATAAGTGTTCCATAGTGTCCCTGAAATTTTTCGCCGCCTAGCACTATAAGCTGAACGCAAAGATGTGCAAAACGACCCATTAAGACGTTGAAATTTATAAAGCGCACGAATAACAAATTAGTGCTAGGCAGAAACGAAGAAGAAGAGAAGGGGACCACGTCGAAGTTCAAGGCAGATAACTGTTTTTCAGGGACACACTAGAGCACTTAAAGTGCTATGCCATTCAAATTCTAACAATAGGCCCGCCTTTTTGGGATACTCTGTAGACACCTGGGGCTGGTTGTATAAAACTCTTAAACTACATATTGTATAGTTTAATCCTATTTAACTTAGAAATACACGACTCTGGTTGGCCAAAATGTTAACAACAGTTAAAAGTTAACTAGTCTTTTATACGAGAGTCAAACGTCGTACTTCTCATGCGCAAAGACACTGAAAAAGGTATAGATAATAATGCCTTGTTTTCTATTGTTTTAAGTTAGGAGCATTGGAAGTGCGACGTTTGACCTAGACCTAGTGTGATGAAGGTTTTGCTTCCAAAACATCAAACCCAAAAATTTGTGAAATATTCACGCGTAAAAACGCACAAGTTGTAACAAGTCTGCAGCAGAGTTGTTACAAGTCTGTTCACAAGCTTGCAACAAGATTTGTCCGCGCTGCTTGCTCCAATTTGTTGTAACAAGTTTGGGACAAGCTGTTAACAACTTATAGCAAGTCCGATGGCATTATCAGACTTGTTACAAGATAGTTCTGATAAGTCTTATACATCCTCTAAATTTCCAACGAACACCGAATAAGTGTAATACACACAAAAAATTGCAAATGGTTATAATTTTTTAAATTCTTACTAAATAACAGTCATAAGATAGTACGCGATGCCCGCATTGACCGGGCTGCCTGTTGTAATAACCGGGCAAAGCGTCCCAAGTCAGAAGCAATTACTTTCTTAAAAACATTAAAATAAGGTATATTTTAAGAGATATTATAAGTAACTGTTTTAGTCGATAAATTGAATTCTATATTAACAACTAGTCCCACCCCATATTCGTATCACTTTCGTATCGCCTCTAAAATCATTGTTTTGTTTCTTTACTGTAGTTCATCGCTTTAGGCGTGATTTGTCTTACTGCGGGAGTTTTTAAAGAATCCAGAGTCGTAAGTTTTGACGCCAAAAAACATACAACTTCGATGAATGATGATTGCTCGGCAAACGTCTATTAACTTTTTTAAAGAAAATTAACGGGCGGGTAACGATGTCTTGGATTTGGGAAAATACTCCATTTACAGCTAGGATCACAACCATTTGTGTGCGTTAAAGTTTTGCATGGTGTTTGAAAATAGACAAAAAAACTTCTGATCTATACGCGCCTTGTAATAAGTTCAATTTTTCTAAGCTTTTGGCTCGTGAGCCTGGACCATCATCAGAGAAATGATGTAGATCACAAATATATTTGTCTATTCGCAACCTATTTTTTTAATTTAGGGGCGTCGGAAGCGGGGGGGGGGCTGGGCTTGCTCCGCGTTCGATATCATTATAAGAAAGGTCTATAGATGGTTTCGCCTAAAATGGAATGAATTATTCAAAGTTTAGGAATGAGAAAAATTTATCTCCAATACTGTAAGTTGAAAACAACGAAGTTTTAACGTAATTATTTAAAAGGTCTAAAGGCCGGCACACACCGGTCGACGACGCGATCCGCAAACGCGAAGCTGCTAACTTTGACAATGTCGTGATATTCTCGGTAATTACCGATTCATAGTACATTTTGACTGGTCTGGTTCGCAAAATCTCTCAAAATGTTCTTTCTGAGTAGAATTTATTTAATTATGAAAATGAAAAATTCGCGTCGTGTTAGCGAATCGCGCTCAGTGTGTGTGGCCCTTAATTTGTTAGCTCCTTATATAGAGCGACCTTATAATGATCGCTGTGTAATTGATTTTAGCTTGGATTTGCTCTTGTTTTTCAAGTCATTGGCCTGTTCATTGCAGCCGCTGGAATAATAATTTCTGCCATATTTTGGACATTTCTGAATACTTGCTCGAGTTCGCTGGTTGTTGGTCCAGTTTTACCCGATCACTGTCCTTGCGGGGTTGCTGCAGATCTTACGGACTGTAAGTTTCTGTGTGTTTTACTCAAAATGTTAAGTTTAAGAAAACAGAAGCGTAACGTATAGAACGGATAAAGATACATTCTGTACGTTACCGCACTTCTGTTTTCGCTACAATTACTGTGTGCATAGGAAATTTCAGATTTATTTCGAAATTCCAGAAATATTCATGCAGGGTTCACGCTGTGTTCTAGTAATAGATTGGGAAATGTACGTGGTTTTCTCTAAGATTTTAAAGGAGATTAGTATTCGCCAGTGCTGGAAGCATGCAACCCACTCATATGCAGGTCGCTCTTGTGATGATCAGAAATGATCGAACTTACCGCCACCCCCCCCCCCCCCCCCCACAGATGTAATTAAACTTTCTCCCCCATATAGATGACATTAGTTGTTCTGATCTGAGAACGGTGAGAAATGTCACAGCTGCCTCCACATTTATCTATTTGATTTTGGAAATCACTTCATTCATCGGTGTAATCTATGCTTGTGTTGGCATATGTTGTGCACCAAAGGTATGGCAATTATATGAAATATGTTTATCGTCGCTTCAGTTTTTGTGTAAGTAACAATAGCCGCGTTTAAACTACGTGCTTTGACCTGGCCTTGACCAGGTTGTTTATCCGGCGTAGACCAGGCCTGGACCTGGTCTAGGCCACAAAATCCAGGCCAACAGCAGGTGGACCTGACCTGGGGCAAGATTTTTGTAATGTGAACAGGCTTTACTTAGTCTTGACAAATTTTGAACTTAATAGTATGATTTGTATAGGATACATATAGTATTACCACTTTTCGGCATGTTTTGGGTCTTTTTCCAAGTATTTTGTCAATTACTTTGGCTATCCGATATCAGCAACAAGGACGACAGTGCGAACGTGGCACATATTACCCAGACTTGTCCTATAGACCTGGTCCAGGCCACTTAAGCGCGGCTTAAGTAAGGCGGTTCTTAGAGTTTAGGTCTATATTTAACATGCGTACTTTTGTAAGAATCACATTAATTCGTAGGAGAATGAATTTGGGTAATAAGATATAAGGAATGCTGTGGCTATCAGGGGCTCGGCTGAACAGGGTGAGCTATGGCTACCATAGCCCCATCAGAAGTAAATGTGTGTTATAACATGGTTATATAGCATATAGAAAAAATACAGCATCGGGGTTTATTAGCATAATGTTATTATTTCATCGAGACTGATCCAAATGAAATTGTTATAAGAAAAAAAATAAAAATTGAAAGTGAACCTTTGTTGTCGGACCTACCACGAGAAACATGCTTTTGACTAGCCTCCTCCGCAGGCATTTCTTATGTATTAAAAATATGCATATTTGGCTTGAGCTAGCTGTCGGTCGGAACGAGAAAAAAAATCTTTCCCTCGCCTTCCAGAGACAGCTAACCCTTTACCCATGCCTAATAACCTAATATAATTTAATACATAAGAGATGCCTGTGGAGGAGGCTAGCTTTTGCCCATGCTTTTACGTGCGTGCATCACCGGAATATTTTTTCAAAATCCATACTATGGAAATATGCTGCACCCATATACTGCATGTTTCCGTAGTATATAGTATGGAAATGGAAATTATAGTATCCATAATAATATCCATACTTATAAAAACCTTCCAAATATTTATTATGCATAGTTATATGATAATACTAATTTGTATATAGTCGGAGCTACAGTGAAATATTTTCACTTTTCAGGAACCAAGGTCTGTTACTGTCACCACAGTTAATTCACATGGTGCATCAAATCCTGAGTCAAAACCGATGATTATGACCAAAATATTTAGAAAGAAACATCAACCACAGGATGACAAAAAGAAAAATCGCAAGCGTTGAGAAACTCCTCAATCACATGCATGACTGACAAACTACACTCACACGAGATAGTCACTCTTTCGGGGTAAACACAACTTTAATATTCTCAAATGTATTTCACTATAAATTTGAATGTGTTATGTGATAGACGACATTATAATCTCATTTACAAACTCATAATCATAGTTTCGCAATTAAGACTGACCGATTAAAGGAGAATGATATATAATCTATATATAAGCTACCAAGTCTTTTAAACATGCAGGTTGTGTCTATTTTGTCTATTCCGTATTTGCTGTATTAGTTTATTCATAGACTATATACTGAGCTTGATATATTGTTTTGCAAAGATAAAACAGACTCCGAAAAGCTATCACACCATTGCTTTACAGTACTGTCCAGAAATAACCTAACACTGCGGTTCGGTTGCGGTCGCCTGATAGAAACCGCAGACAACTGCAAGTGAAAAAATACCTTCGCAGTGGCGAACGAAACGTTATGAACGGCTGAGAAGGACAACACAATAACCAAATCGAAAAACTCTTAAGAAATGTTTATCAGACCGAGTTAGGCCGAGGTTTAACCTCCATCTCACCGGGGTTGGACCTAGATCTGTCCTCGGTTCAACCGTGATCGGACCGAGGTTTGACCTAGGTTAACTGCTGTTTTTGTTAAGTTATTTCTGGAGAGTACTGTACCTTGAAAAGGGTTGACTTTGTAAAGTTGAAATTTGAAGTTTGATTAAAAAAATTTCAATTCAAAGCTTCAAAGTCGAATGCAAATATTCGCACATTCAAAGAATAACATTTGACGTTTAGTCCCTGAACTCTGATGATTTTGTACTGTTTTGACGTTTTGAAGGTTGAATTTTTAACCATTAGTATTACTCATTACTAAGCTGTAAGAGTCCATAAATTGTAACTGGGGCATATAGACTAATAAATTTCTAAGCTGAAGCAGCAGAAAAACGGGTGATGTTAACTTCAGTTTACGACCATATTTGACTATACATTTAATTCCGAATAATATTAGTAAATCCGTTATTAACTTATTTGAGTCATGTCGTAATATAAGCTCAGACTTCGCTAACTTAGGAATTTGTCAAATTGGTTGTTTGGAATTGGCAAGGGGTTACTGAATACATTACATGTATCTCTAGTATATATATGCACTAAATATTATGCAGTTGTAAACAGTATCTTTGTATAAGGTCATCCACCGTTATAGCTAAATGGACTTGATACAACCGGCCCCTGCATTTCTGGCCATGCATGCATGTAAAGTGCCGAACGAAATACAATTCTTGCCACCCAACGGGGTGGCTCCAAAATATGTTTCGAAGAAGACAAAAACTTCTCGCATCTGGCGAAATATTGGGAGTAAAAGTTTGAAAATTGTAGAATGCTTATATATAGAATGCAATGTTTATTTATGCGCTTGAAATATCCGAATATGGCTCTGAACACACAGAATGAACTCGAAGACTGAAGTCAGGTTTTTTCCCGCCATTTTGAGCCTTTGGAAACGTTCGGAACAACTTTTCGGTGCCAATTACGGGCAGAGACAGAGTTGACGCGTGCATTTAGACTTTTTTTCCGCGGTGTTGTGTTGCGTGGAAAGTAATTTCCATGTCATTTTACCTTGATTCGGCTGGGTTTGGATAAAAGGCCCTGGGATCGGCCAGCCGTTCCTGACTTCTGATCGGTTAAATGATTTATCCTAATTTATGTACAATTATATCTAATTATTCCGAACCGAGCAAATAAATAAGCGTTCAAAGGGTGCGGTAAATGGCAGAAAACAAGATTCCAACAACCTCGTTCCCAAGGCATTTTACCTTGATCTGTTAATTTATGCTTATTCAAAATACTCACATGTGGGTATTTTGAACGGCCGATCCCAGGGCCTTTCCTCTTCTCTCCTCTCCCCAACCCTCCCAATATAGTCCCAAAAGACCATGGGAACGAGGTTGCTTCCATCCTGGAATAGAACAATTTAAATTATTTCCAGTGAGTGGCTCACGATGCATTTTTTAATTTTTGAGTCTTCAGTTTCGACTAGGGGTACAAAAAGTATACTTACTATAATGAATATATTGTTTAGAACAGAAAGAAGAGATTTTAATTTCAAAAACACATTTGATGAAATTTGTCTACACCATTATTCCACTATCTAGACATTACAACAGATACTTCTGACGTTCTCGATCCCGAATATTCTGACGTTCTCGCTTTATTCAAGAAAATTTTAGGTAAGCAAATGAAACGCACATGCACGAAGGAATGCTTCTCCAAATAACGTGTTCCATTAGTTGATAATAGCACCAAAAAACGTATAAATGGTATTTTCAGTTAAGGCTGGTTTCCATAATTATATTACATAATTCGCAAATTGTTGTAATTTAGTTTTTAAGTCGAATTAACAAGGAATAACAAGGAATTATGACCAATTATGACATTTGAAAACCATGCAGCCTTTGTGCGTAATGCGACAGATATCGCGAAGCTATGCACCTTTAATTGCATAATATAACATGATATAACAAGAATTCCATAATGCAGAATAATATAACAAGTATAATATAGTTTATATTGACTTAAATTAAGAGTCACTTTCCTGTAACTTTTTTATATTATAGCACATTGCTGTCAGACAAACAATGTTTGTCGTCTTTTTTGTCCTTACTCCGACTTACAATTTTATATACACAACCTTGGCAGTATGTCATGCATGTGGAAAATAGGTAGTGAGAGAATGACAAAAGCTTTTCTCTGAATTCATAAAGGACTGTTTGTAATTCTGAGGAATGTTAATTTGTAAAGAGTGCTCGAAATGTTAAGATAAGTCAGCGTAATAAAAGTGTTGTATTTGCCAACTTTAGATGTCTCAAGCGTTTAGATTTGCATTACAAGTCGCAGGGCGAATTGCATAGCACCTAAGTGTTATATTTAAGTTAAGTATTATAATGGAATCCTGTGGATTTTTTTCAACATATTTTATTATTAGCACGATGAAAGCCCCATTTACGCTACACACAGTTTTAGTTTTGGTACTGATAAAATTTGAAGGTATTCCAAATCTCATCATTCTCAATTTTATTTGTATACCTGTATTATACCAAAACTGAAATTGAACAGATAAAATTGGTATGGGTAAAACTTTACTAACCAATTTCATCCTTACCATTTTTTACCGTACCTAAAGTTGTGCGCAATGTAAATAGAGCTGAAATTACTGGATGCTGATTGGTCAAGAGCGCAGTTATTCATAAATTCTTCTGCAAAAATAGACAAAATGGCAAAAATTTATTTGGATGCAAGCCAAACAGGAAGAAAAAAAGGCCAATTAGAAGGTGAACGAAAATACTACCATATATGATAAATGTGCAGCAGGAGCGTGTATTTGTACAACAAACTATCATGAATGCATTGAAAATAATTATGTCTTAAAAGATCTCGAGGGAGCGCTTCAAACGAAACGCATTTTATGATTTTGTCATGCTGATCATAAACATGCAAATTAATCATCCAATATTGCCCGTACAATTAGGGTTTAATAGTATACTCATGATGTTTGAATATGTTACTAATTTTGCCAAAATTTTCAAACATCATTCGTACTATAATGCCGAATTGTACTTGTCATCGCATGATTACATGCACTAATTCATTACGAATACTAAGGCCCGTTTCAAACATGGAACATTCTGTTTCAAGTGCCGGATTGAACGCAAATGAACTTAAACAAAGACCCGTCACATCAGGTTCGGCACATGAAAAGTTCGACGTCTGAAACAGGCTTGATTAAACGTGAATTCGTCAATTTTCCATGCCGGAAGGATGGTATATTTTAAGCATTAAAATGCGTTCAGAAATAACAATAACATAAGTTTGTTCTAATTCTATAATTATTAGAAAAATTCGATAATTCCTTCACAAATATGTTAGTGAAATAACAAATTTCAAAGATTTTTTCAAAATATAAATAAAAATAATATTAATAATATAATTATTTGGGGAAGAAAGGAGCACCTTATCCTAAAACCGTAATTGCTTTCGAACCACATTACACTATACACAGTTTTTCTGTACGTCACCTTGACATTTCACATTCGATAAATGATGCAGAGCCAATGTCAAAAACTATTCTCGCAACGCGCATGCGCGATTAGCTTTAGGCATTACAATTAGCAATAGTAAATGAATAACTGGTACCATTTTCTTATAATTATCACGAAAATGCGGTGGAAACTTTATTAGAATGCGTTATACAAACGTGTACAAATTGTTTTAAAATACTGTCTGCAAGCTCGTGTTAGTTCCTAGGTCTTTGGACTGTTAGCGCTTGGTGAATGTGGTGATTTTTGTCTCAACAAATTATATCGAATTCTTTTTTGTCCCGATCCTCTGTGGCTGTAGGAAAACTCTGATGTTACATAAGGTCTTTTCCCGTACGTGTCTTGTTTCTTGAGGTGAGAAAATAAGTAGGTTTTATTAGCAAATTTTTACTTTAATAATAAATTTTCATGCAAATTTTTATGCTTATCATTCTCTTTTACACCCAAATAATACAAGGACGCTTTCTACATATACACCCCGTACAATATTGTCACAAAACGCATGTAGCTAAAACCTTTTGTCCTTTTTCTCATCTACATTATAGCCTTTCACACTAAAAAAACTTTACTTCTTAGGCTCTTAGCATAATCAAGAAATCGGCCAACAAAGCTTAATTCTTGTGAGACAGACATTCTACCCTCGACAAACATGCAATCAATAAGCCAAAATGCCCAGCGCGTTTCCAGACACTGTAATTATGTATATAAAGACCACTTTGACGATATGGAGTACAGGGTACTGAGTAGATTTTTGCTACTCGGCGTAATATAAAAGAACTTATTCTTTGCTGGAGCCTTTTCTCGCTTTCGATATAAGACGAAACTGATTAGGCGGACTGTCATAGATAGAGATTTGGACAAAACTCTTTTAATTCGTATTCCTATTCCTGCACTATAAACAAACCGGATTGTTTTTAAGGAATAAATTAGCCAGATTATTGGTATTATAATGACCTTTGTTTTCTTTGTTTCCAGCAAAGAAATCGATTGGCCTCCTATGACATTTACCTTATATAGACAGTCAAGAATCTCAAGACTTCCCTTCACCAGAACTTGAACTTTATTTAAAACTTCAATGGGTTCAGGTGTGATGATATACACAATCTGCTTCTCCACGTCGATATTTCGAACTATACCTGCATGTAAAATAGTTTGCACGATAAAAAAGAAAACGTAAAAAATAATCCAGTTCTACGAAACCAACTCACCTAACCCTAGATATTGTCCAAACTGCATCTTATTAAAAAGAAAATTATCATCGCTTACTTCAGTTGATTCTGTCTGAAAAAAAATGAAAAAAGCTCCTTCTTACGGTGGATTATACACCTCCCGGTATAGAGACGGTTCCCTAAATACATAAGCTTCAAAAGTGGCCATTAAAACGAGTACATTACGCGAGTGAAACATGAAGTCGCACAGTTGTTTAATTGAGATGCAATAATACATTATAGCTCACCCTTCAAACTTAGGGTAAGTAAAACAATGATTGACGTTCACAGCAAACCGCTAACAGTAAAATTAAAAGAAAACCTCATAAGATTTCGAGAACAGTTATGCTCCAATTTTCATAGAAAAATTGTCCCAAAACAATAAACAACTATAACAGTTGACAAAAGATTCGGTTTACCAGTAAACCAGTCAATCCTTGAGGTTTGAGTGCCTATAATAGTGTATTTAATACACACATGTATCTGTGCAAACTTGTGTGTGTAAAATTACCTGATATAACTTACCACATTTACATCGGTTCTGACAAGACCGACCACACTACCGTTGATAGAATGGAGCAGTTCATCAGGGCAGATCTATTCAGAAATGTTCGATTTATTTGTGCGTTCATATACAGCCTTTCGTTTTTATGTACATATATACGTTTTTT